CAGGCACACCGGGTCCCTGAGGGGGTTTAGGTGGACTTACCTGAATGCCTGGAGGTCCAGGGGCCTTGTTGCCCCACCAGCTGTAAAACTGGTTCCTCCACTCCGGATCAAGCCTCCTGTTCTTTAGACTTACCTTTCCAGGCTCACTTACCTTTCCAGGCTCACCGGGAACCTCAGGTGGTTCAGAGAAACTTTGGAAAAACAACAAAATGATTATGCAGTTGGTACACAATGTTACATAACCATATCACAGGAACTATTGTCCAGTCTGAGCAAAACTGACAAAGACAAAAGTGAGGTAGTTGTTTTGAAGCCAAGGAGGAACAATTAGAAGTCAGCGCTCTGCTTAGATCGACAATGTTGAAAACCAGAGACCAAGACAGAACTCTAGGTGTAGCTATGGACTCTGAATTTCAACAGCCGCATGAAGACAATTACAAAGTCAGCCTAGTGCTGGGTGGTATGACCAAAAGTGTGTATCACGGTATTTTTTAAGATTCTGCCGGTTTCACGGTATATCACGGTATTTTTTTCCCCCTTTGGCTGTGTTTTTATATAGGTTTATAGTGGCTTACTCTACTGTCAGGAGTACATAGAATATAAAAACATGTTAATGTCATCATGTATGAAGGCTTTGCTTACTAGAGGGTGTGCTCATTTGTTTGTATAATGTTGGGATAGCAGCTTGGCTGAAGTACTTTCGCCCGGGTAAGACGTACCTTGAATCCAGTGTTTTAATTATTGCTCTGAGCCCGTCTTTCTCGACTGTCTGTAGCGGGACCATGTCCTTGCATAGCTGGATCGTTATTGCGTTCGTAATGTCGCTCCACCGCTTGCTTTTCTTGTCATATGCTGCCTCAAGCAAATGCCTCTTCAAGCGATGTGTGACCCTTTGGCTTCACTGTTTCACTAGCGTTAACGTTACTGGTTGACGGCCTCGAATCCGACGGCCGTCATCACACTCTTGGTATTCCAACACATGTTTTCTGCTGAGGTGATGGAGTAAGTTGCTCGTGTTACCACCAGCAGCAACAACAGTGGCTCAACAAACTCGCAAAACGTCAGGTTTTTTAAAACCAAAACACTTCCAAACAGCAGACCCAGCTCCTCTCTTGGGCACAGACATCTCCGGCCTGTCTTTGTTCATCCTGCATCGCTCTGTTCTGTTCTTTAATGTAACGTTACTGTAGCAACGGAGCCTCTCCCAGCTGTTAGCAGACTGTTGTGCTAGCGGGCTAGCGAGCGAGTTGCAGCATGCAGTTCGGCGGTGAAATTATATAAATGTACAATTATTAGTGTTACAAATTGTTTATTTGTCACAAACTGTCGTGGTGTTTTGCCCTGTTAAAGAACGTTAGTTGTGGGTTATTAATTGTTGTTATAAAGTTATAACCATGACTAGGGGTCCCTCTCATTACACTTAAGACAACTAGCTCCGACCGCAGCGCCCTTAACGGTAGGGCTGCACGATTATGGCCAAAATCATAATCATGATTATTTTGATCAATATTGAGATCACGATTATTTATCACGATTATTCATTAATTTAGTCACGTTTAAATGAACAAGAACACTGCTTCCACTTCCATTGTTGTGCTACATTCTGGCTAATGTACACATCTTTGCATCAGACTGGTCCTGATCACAGTGCATCTCGTAGAAGGAAAATATAAATAAAATAGTATCAACACTTTTTACCCAAAATTAAATCAACAGAGCACTGCTTTCACTTCCATGTTGTGCTACATTCCAGCTAATGTACACGTCTTTGCATCAAAATAAAACTTATACGGTTCTTATTCACCTGAAGAAAAATATTAATAAAATCGTAGTCGCAAAATACTCGACAGCTGTGACATCCCTTTGTATTCCCCCCCGACGTTTTTCATACAGTGCAGGTAATGCCTGTTTGGAGAAATAATTGCGCGAGGGGATCACGTATCTCTTGTCTAGTGTCTTGACCATTTTTCTGAAGCCTTCATTGCGCACAGTATTTATTGGACATGTCTTTGGCCAAATGAAATGCGATTGCATCCGTTATTTCAGTGTGTCTTTGGGAGGTGGATGGATACGCTGTTGCGCTATGCAGGGTCGCTGTTATGGGTTTCTGGGTTGACGTTGGACATGGACGGAGATTCAGCGAGGCAACGTTAGCTTTGGCCTTAATGCATTCGTCGTACTGTGGTTTGTGGTGATTTTTCAGGTGGTTGAACAAGTTAGTTGTGTTGCTATGCGGCGCAGACACAACTCTAACGTACTCTGTGCATATGATTTGTTCTTGGTTAACATCACTTGTCCTAAATCGGATGAAGATCCTTGTCGAGGGGCTAGCTCCTCGCCTTCTGCTCCTGACATTTGATTTACCTTTCACACGACACCCGTGAACGTCTGCTCTCTGTTCTGTTGTCTGTCTCTCTACTCTTCTACTAATACCGGAGACGACTGCAGACAGAACTTTTTTTGAGGCTGCCGCTGCAGGGTGCGCGCATGACACCTCCCATCTCGTTCTCCCCCTGGTGGTCGGCTGACTGTTAGTCGAGGAAGCGCTTGATTTGATATGTAGCAGAGCACGCATTTTAAACGTCAATATTGCTGACGATCATGCTCATTTAATTGTGGCAGCCAAAATCGTGATCGCGATTAAAATTCGATTAATTGTGCAGCCCTACTTAACGGCGAACAATATATTTAGCTGCCTGTTGAAGAGTGACAGCAGTTGTTTCTGCTATGCACCGGTATGACGGTGTGTGAAAAATTCATATCATATGGGAAATTAAAACCCGTATTAAAAAATGAAAGCAGGATTTATAAAAACATGTCCATACACCATTTATCTGGAGTAAACTCCCAGAAAACTGCAGGTCGGCTACAACTGTCTCTTCTTTTAAACCAAGGCTGAAGTCTTTCTATTCACCGCTGTCTTTCAGCAAATCGTTTCTGACTGCACTCTAACTGTTAGTCTTGTATTTTATTCCTGTCCTATTTTAGCTAGTCTTAGTTTCCTCTTCTCTTGGCTCTTTAATGCTTTTAATTGTATTTGAATGTCATTTTGTGGTGTGTTTCTTTTGTCTCAATGCTTTTGAAAACTTTGAATGGCCTTGTTGCTGAAATGTGCTGAGTAAATAAAACTTACCTTCTCTTGCCTGGCCTTTGGGGGGAGCTTGGGGGAGAGGAGGGAGTGGATGGCCGATGTGAACGCCCAGGGTCACAGCGCGTTGAAGCTGGGATCCTACGGAGGATGATCCGTGGGGCGTCGGGCCGGTTGGGGTCCTGGATGAGGAAAGGCCTACACGTGAAGCGTTGATCTGCCTGAAGGTAAAAAGAAAATGACAACCATCAGACCACTGCACCTCAAGATCAGTATTTTGGCCGCCGCCATCTTGCTTTTGAACGGAAAGAGGGACGTGGTGACGCTGCCTACGGCTCTGGTAGCGACCTGTCAATCACGAGGTAGCCCCGCCCTAAAGCATATCCTTCTTTATGGTCTAAAACAGTTCACACAGCTCCACCGAGAACTAGGAATCACTTTAAACTTCTCGCTCCGCTCATAACTCCCTCAGAACCGTTCTTTCTAAAACACACCTCGTGCTCCACAGGTGAGCCGAGAAAACCTGACTACCAAATTAGCAAAAGAGCGTTTGGAACGTCCTCCTGTCTGCACAGAGCAGCAACTAACCATCAACTTGTGGCGGTACAGAGATCAAAAACAAACGCTCTGTGCAGAGAAAGTAGCGACAGCTGCTGATGCTGAGGACTCGTCCTACAGGTCGTATCTTTAAGAACTTTTCTTTCTGGTGTTCAGCAGCAGCTGTTACAGGTTTGAATCTCCTCCATCATGTGGATCATGTTGTTTATCCTGCTGTCATATCGTTTCTACACCAGTTTCAGGTTTTTTTGGCTGTCTTGCACATGTACGCATCCAGTTACAGATGGTTAATATCAGTTATAGATTAGTCTGGAAGGCTGGAACTCCTCCCTCACCCCACTCCCCCAAACCTCCCCCTTTTGTCTTTCTATTTTGTTGAGTTTTATGTCTCTTAGATATTTTCTGTTATTTGTAAATGTAACTTGTATAAAATACATGCAATGGACTGATGATGAAAGAAACGTATCAATAAAGTGTTAAAATAACTGTGTGACGTTCAGGTTCTTGGTGCTCTTACCGTGCTCCTGGTTGGAGGGACTGTAATCGTCCTGCCAGGGTCGTTGTCAGGTGGGGGTCCGGGACGGTTAGGGTCCGGGATCTGGACGCTGGTGTTCGCGCTCCGTCGGGCCATCTGAGGGTAAAAACACACAACCCTCAGACCACTGATGCACATCATGGTACTTTCTCACATCACATATCACATTAAACGGATCAGTACCACAAAGCAGTACGACTAGACAGAAAGTAAATGTCACACAAAAAATGATACGCTATAAATATATGGAGAAAAAAACACAGTAAAGTGCAAAATGTTTGCATTTGTGTCACAGTGTTGTTACTGCAGGAGGCCTTCCATATGTCTACATGCTCCTGGTATCAAACCCGTGAACACACAGTCACCACTGATACAGTTTCACTATACACAACAGTTTACTGTCACATGTATTAAAATGACACCTGACCTGCTCTGATATTCACAACTCCATTTTGTTTTCATAATTCATGAGCATATGAAGGATTAGGCTGTATAATGATTTCTGTCAGCTGTTTATTGTAAACATTAATATGTGCGTGCACGTCAACACGTGTACATGTGTGTAGATAATTACTATCAGTCTGGAAGCGTTATTACAGTTTACACAGAGTACATCTCAGATGCATCTTACACAGCGAGATTTACACCAGACTACGTTAAAAAAAAATGTAAATTTAAATTAGTCTTGTTGATTGACTGAAAGTCAGAAACATATCAGCGCTTTTTCTATAAAAATATATATATTTTAGGTTTTGAACGAGGTTTGGTGTAAAATAGTCTCATTTATGAAAAACATGACGAGTATGTAGGAAACGTGTGAATTGTGAATACATTGAAATAATACGGATTAAATATATTGTCATACGTGCGTCACTTATGATCTATATCACCTCGAAGTTGTATAAATATATAGAAACAATATTTGTATTTGCATTTATCAGCGTATTCTAGCTTAATGCTACACGGTCGGGGCTATAAAGCTAACGTTAGCTAACCAAGAAAAAAGCTTTGGTTTAAAACGTGTTTAAACTTGGTCACAACAGTCAAAAGTCAGTCCTAGTGGATGAATTTACACTGACAATTGAACATATTACCAATATTAGCATAAATATTGGTGTATTTTGTGGATTGAGAGAGTCTCAATGGTAAAATACATTGAAAACAACAGTGGTTCAGAAAGTGTATAAATCTTACTTCTTTCCAGCAGAAAGTTCTCAAAACTTCGACAGTAGGTCACAAGTAGAGTTTCTGATGCAAGAAATGCTGGTTTGAAGGTGTATTTTGAGAGATTTCCTCGAGTGAAGGTAGATATTTCTGCTTTTCTGACTGACTGAACGTTTGTTTCTGGACAGAAGCCGTGAATTTAGAAAAGATGCACATTTTGGTAGACATGGTAACGACAGAACGTTCAGGTCCCTGCTGAGAACAGGTCTTACCTCAGAGTCTCCATCAGGTCCGGATCAACAGTCCTCCGCTGCACAAACAGCTATTAAATACAACCTTATGAGGAATATCCTTATGGACATGAGCTAAAATAATAAAGCTAGCTTTAGACTCACGGTCTCCTGTCACTTTTGAGAGTCACGTGACCTGCCCAGGGGTTAACCACAAATGAATTCTCCACTCGGGCTTATTATTACATTACAAAACACCGTCTCATATAATGTCCAATAATATAGAAATGCATGTTTGCATGGAGCTTTGAGGGCGTCAGGTTGGATACTGTTATAACGCTTTTACACGTTTCCATTGTTGTGATCTATTTTTAGAGACAGGAAGACAGATTTTCAGAATAAGTGACACAAACATCAATTTGAAATATAATAAAAATATACATTTTCTGTAGTTTGTTTTTTGGTCCACATCCTGCCTGTCTTTGGGCAATAGTTGGACAAATCTCTTCTCTCCAGAGACATTTACACACCCCTATATCACACTTGTATTACTCTCTGTGCTCCTATTGCTTTTTACCAACTAAACAACCTTTTAGTAGAAACTTGATGTTTTTTTACAGGATGTAACTTTACTAATTGATAACATATTAGTAGCATGTCTGTACATCTTACTGTACTTGTTTGAAATAATAAGGGTTGTGTTGGCCAAGAATTGGGCCGATCACAACATGGTCAGTTTGTAAAGCACATGTCCACATGGAGGACAGACACAATCCTCGAGTGCTGCCAGTGTCTCCTTCTAGCTGCTGGAAACTCTTCAAAACCAGCCTGTATGTATGGGTATGTGTGGCAATATATAGCAAGAAGCAGAATATAAACCAAAAGAACAGTGTCATGCCAGTGGAAGAAAGGATATTCTCCCCTGCAGAGAGCAAGCCTGCCAAATTAACAAGGTATTGAATTAAGGTCAGAGCCACACCGGCTCAAGTGGCTCATCCAGCTGATGACACTCCAATCATCACCACCAGCAACAAACAAGTAACAGGGACACATAGTATACATGGGAGTAGGAAGGTCGTCACATATGTCGATAAGAGTCCTAAAAAAGTCACAGGGTACATC